TTTAATTACTTCTCTCTCTCTATATATATATATATAAGTTTCCTAATATATGGGTGATATATATTTTTTATTATAATAGAATATTTTTTTGTTAGTTTTATTAGTGAATGTATTAATTTTTTTATAATTTTATTTTATTTATGACTATGCATAATTTAGAAACTGATTTACCAATAAATACATTATTTAAGAAAATAAAAATACGGTATATATATATATATTGGGATTATATATGTTGATTATTAAATTTGTTAAGAACATATTATTTCATTGACAATTTATGTTTACATTAAAAACACTATTTTGAATTTATTATTATGTGATTTTTAATGAGTTTAAGAAAAAGAAAAACAAAATTAGTTAATGTACCCGTGATTGGAATATATTAATTATTGAAATATAAATAATTGCAATAAGGTTTTATTTTATTTTATTTATTTATTTATTGAAAGAAAAAAAGTGGCATGAACAAAGTTGGAAAGTGCTATTTATTTATTTATTTTTTCTTTATGCAAGTATCATGAGAAATGCATATTGTGCCAATTTAATGTTATTAAAATTAGACTAGACAGGCCCATATATTAAATAATTAAAAGAAAATTCAACTAAATTAATTAAAAGATACCCATTTAGTAATTTATTATAATAAAATTTTATTACTTAATACAATATTTAATAATTAACATAATTATGTTTAAAATGATTAAAAATAATTATAATAATTCTCAAAATTTTTATTATTTTAACATATACTCACACTTAAAATTTACTAAATATATAACTAAGTAGACCCAAAAGTCAATTAATTAATTTGTACTAATAATGCGTGACTACTCGAGTTAGCATTATACCTTATTAGTAAAACTACTTGCTCGAATTCGAATTCGAATTCTATTCTTAATTTTGTCTCATAAAAAATTTGACCGATTCAATATTTAATTCTAAATATATTTTCATATAATTTTTGTAATTTTAATGTTCTAGGTAGTTATCTCAATAAAATTTCAGCTTGGTGAACATAGTTGTCACCAAATTTTTTAATGGGTCACTAGATTAAGTCAAATCCTCAAATATATAGACTTTGATTTTGTTGTATAATTTCACCTTTTTGGAAAGCAATTGAAAAATAAATAAATTAATTGAAAAAGGGGTATCCATGTAATTTAAATAAAATGAAGATAATTTTTTAAATAATATTTTTTGTTATATTTTAAAATTAATTACGAATAAAAAATATGTATAGGCTTACACTTTAAAGAATATGTAACCCTTAACTCTTTATTGACTTGTAATTTTTAGCATGCTTTGTTTAATGTTATTTAGGGTAATTACTTTAATTAAAATATTTAATCGTAATTATATTCTTTAATTAATTTTTTGGCTAAGAGGATTTGGGTTTTAAATGAATGTTATTGAAAAAGAAGTATTTCAAAAATTAAGAGCTAAGATTACTTTTTCACATTATTGATTGCTTCTTTAATCATTATGGCATGCCCTTTATTTAATGAAATATCATTGAAGGATTGAGAAAGAAAAATAAAATGGATCATAAATCTTAACAGGATATAGATATAGTTTACGTGAAAGTCCAAAATTTAATGAAAATTAAGATATTGAATTCGTAAAATAATAGCGAAAGTAATTGAGAATTTAAGATTTACATTCCTTACACAGTAAATTAGGATGTCTAATAGAATTACAGAAATACTCATTTTAAGAAATTTAAAATAAAAGAAATAAGAACGTAACGAAAATCCTATAAGGATTTAGTTGGACAACTCTGATAGAATGTGGGTGATAAATTTTAATCGCAACATTTTTACTCTTCAAGATTTAGATCTTACTCTTCCTGATATGAAATTATTAAATAAGGATGATGAATTACATTAATCCAATAAGAATGCCAACGTTTAATACCAATCCAAAAAATTAAATATCGATATAAATCATAAAACAACCTTTTATACACATTTTCACATCATCAACCAACCATCAATTTCATACAACATTCTTATTTCATAATTATCGATTTCATACAAAGTAGTAGAACAAAATTTAAACAGACATATGAACTGATACTTTAACAATTAAGAAAATGTGATTAGACATTTATTTCAAATCAATCAATAGATGAGAATAACGATTTAAAGCAATCAGTAAGCGAAATAGCTAGTAAGTCTATGAATCAAAGTGCACGCAATGAGCAATAATAACAATCTGAAAATGAACAGTATATAAATAAATAATTTGTACTAAGCGATTACCGACCCCACTAGTGACTTATGTTTAATTAATTAAGAATTCTAATATTTACAAATTATACCGTTATTATTTATTAAATTTTAATTAACTATAACGGAAGAAAATAGTGAAAGATTCTTACTCCGGATCGGTGTTCGAAACACTGCCTTTTTCATTGTGCTTCCTGATGGTTCTTGAGTTTCCTGAATTTTTTCAGCGGAAATAAAAAATGTGCATAATGTATTTTAAAATACCTCAAAAAGGTTAAAAATAAGCATTTTTAATTTTTTTGGCCAGTTTAGGATTCCGTTATGACAGCACCGACTCCGCCACCCACGGTGGCATCTCCTCTTGGCATGACCTTTTTCGGCCGATTTTGCATAAAAACTTGCAAAAATAGGGTTAGACTGTTTCTATTGGTCGAAAAAGAGAAAACCTGAAGCATTACCAGAGGAGGAGTTTTTTCGGTGTTGCAGCTCCGCTGTTCCTCTCTCATGGCCGAAGATTTTCTTTGGTCGACCTACACCATAAAAGTGTCAGGGACGCAATAGTTGGAAGATTGAAGGGAACGAGAAACGAGAAGGGAATCACCGGAGCGATTTTTGGGCCATGACCGCGACGGCTCGGCTGAGCTCCACTCTCAGTTTTTGACTTCTCTTTTGGTCTTTTG